CTAAAAATATTAAAATTAGGAATTTAATTTGTCGGGATTTTGTGTATTGGGATTTTGTTGCCGGGATTTCGTGTGTCAGGATTTTGTGTGTCGGGATTCTGATATACAACCATCAAGATAGTTGGAAAATATTTCTCTAAATGTTTCTGATTTTGATTCTGATTTGCTAGTATATTTTGCGACATATGAGAGTGCAGCATGAAGAGAAAGAATAGGCTTTATGTCAATATTAGCTCTCCAACCTTGAAGTATAATTCGACTATGTGGATTGACTATTGGATCATTACGATGCAGTAACAATTCAGGTTGGTCATTATTATTAGATTGAATAGTAGTAAAATCATGTAACTCCTTTGGATAACCAAACCGACATTCTTCTAAATTTGTTGTTTTATTTAACCTAAGACAAGATGAAGATGAACATTTCGTATGTTTTTGAACTTTATTAACCAACTGACAATAGTCATTAAAACTGTCTGTTAATTCTTCTAAAGATTTTTGACAAGGATGTTGTTCAAAGGTATATATTGTTATATCTGGATTTATTGCTGTAACGATAGAATCAATAAATGTAACTACATTTTTCATTAAATTTTCATCTTGCTGCATAGCTTTCCAATCAAAACTTGGTGCATTGGAAACTTTTCCAATACCATGTACATGTGTACTTCCTCGATGTTGCCACTCATATCGATACCAATAATCACTAAGGCCCCACTTGGGTATTAATACATGTTGTAAAAATAGTTCAAACCGACGCATAAAATACCATGTTGCAATGTGAGGATTTTCATTTAAATTTTGATATCGTGTTTGAGCAGCTTGTGTCGAATCAGTAGCTATATTGATATTAGTATTTGGCATAAGGCGGTGAAGATCAGGCCAATGTAAATCGGCAGCGCTAAATGTAAAAAAAATTAATCCATCTGCACCAATTTGTTTGATCATATCAATAAGCTCATTATGCATTTTTTTCCAATAAGGTCGGGTTCCTCTAAGGGTATTACCATATCGAACAATATGATTAGCTAGTGAATTATTAGTATTAAGTGACTCTTGGATATCTTCTACTGTAAGATACATATCTTCTAAATTTTGTTTTACATAAATTTTACCCTTTTCAAGTGCTCTCCATCTCATAATTGAGTTTAATGCAAAGTAACGAAATCTCTTATGCCGTGCAAACCGTCCATCATGATATTTTATTAAATGTTCAAAATATTCAGCAGGATATACCTGCCGATATCGTTGAGTACTGCGTAAATCCGCTTTACCACTGGGAAATAAAGTAGGAAATGCTTTACTTATATAACCAATTTCTTCAAACTCATTAATTGGTGTATCTTTAACAGTAGGCCAATTAATCAATACATCAGTTTCTGCATTTGTGAGTTGGTTAATTTCAGTATATGTGGCAACTTCTTCTGTTTCTTTAGAAACAGAATTAGGTATGAAACTATATTTAATATGATCCTCGGAATTGTTAAAATCATCATTAGAATTCTGATTATTATTTGAAAAAACCATATTATCAATTGTTAAATTATTATTATCTATAGTGCATAGTTGATCGAATATTGAACCATCCTCTGGAAGGGTTTGTAATATATTCTGGTCGATTTCAATATTGGAATAAAAAGGATTATTGTTTTTAAGATATCTTAGCCAGATTAAAATATTTGACCGTTTGACTTTGAAATCTTGAAATGAAGTAAGGTCTTGTCCATGCTTTCGAATAATTAAAGTATCAATTGTGGATGGGTTCCGAGGCAGTTTTGTAATAAACTCTTGGATATCTTGTGAAAAATTAATTACATTTCCTCGATATCCAAGTTGTCCGCCTTGAAGTTTGTAAACAGTAAATATAGGGAGAACCTGTGCAATAAGCATTTCTTCAACTTGACTAAGTTGAGGAAGTTCACTCGGAATTTCTCCTACAAAAAAATTTTTAAAATTATATATATTTAAAGTATATTTTTTATATAATAACAATAATAATTTTTTTTTTACATACCAGGGTCCATATCATTTTCATTCGAAAACTTTTTGGGAGTTAATTTTTCTTGATTGCATCTAGTACATATTCCTGTTTTATGGACTAATACAATCGTAGAAAAATTCTCTTTACAGATAGGGCAGAAATTGAATTTAAGTGCATAAACTGCATCACGAAACTTCTTTAGAAGTTCCTGATCGTAATTAGAAAGCTGACATGCAAGTGGTAGCGACAAGATATTTTGACCCTCTAATAAATAAAAAAATTAGTTAATATAAATAGTCAACATTTTATAATTTGTAGAAATTATAAGACATTACGTTCGTCATTCGGATTTGCATTTTCTTTTTCGACATTATTATTTTGGCGGTTACGTCGATCTTGCCTTTTTATTGACTCTTCGTTTCGGTAACTTAACTGTTCTTCGGGTGTCATAGAAGCCAATCTGTTTCTTCTGGCGTTATTCCTTGCAGTCTTTTGTTCAGACGTATAAATTCTTTTTTTTTGCATCGTTACAATAAATTATTAATTCGCTTTTAATTAGTTTTGTTAATCATTTATTTTATATAAGTTACGTACGTATTACATTATCAGATTTATTACGTTATATTATCATGCTTATTAGTCTATTTTATTTATTTATCATATAATTCTGTAATTATTACGTTAATTTTCATTTTATTTATCATGCTTATTAATATATTTCATTTATCATATCGATATATAATTATTAATGATCGAAATTCCGATTAATTTTTTACAGGGGATTTATTGGTCAAAATAGATTTATATAATTCAGGGGTGGGAGCCGGACATCGACCCAAATTAGTAGACCATGGAAAGGACTTACACTCCGCTTCCCTCCGCTCCAGCCCAATTAATAACAAAAAATAATAGTTAAAGGGTGGTTCAGAGTATGTAATTGTTGAAATCGAATAAATAGAAAAAGAAAATAAAGAAAATTTTTAGTCTCTTTGACTGGAGATAAAGTAAACGTATTGTAAAGTAAATACTTACACGATCCGAAGCGCGGTGTGTGTTGTATAGTGTGTGTCTCAAGTGCCAAGCGAGACCTAAAATAAAGTTATAGCCATCTGAGGTAGATAGCAGTCATTTCAGTAATTGCCTAACTCTTTGACAGCGAACAATGACAAGATAACTTGATTTAAATTAATACGGTAGATGATAATCCAGCATATCGGTATATATAAAGTAACAGACATACGTAATAGATACGTTCATACTTAAAAAACATTAAAGCGTACATATGTACAACTCAGAATTAAATGGTAGAGATGAAGTTAATCATGATTAGGATTTCTTTAAAAATATCATTTTATTTATTATTTAATCAAAACCCAATATAATTTGCTGTGGTCAAAACTACGATGTTATTAGTTTGTTTGGTGGTAATTTTTATCATGCCGTGTAATAAATAATGTAATAAAAGATGCATCAACCAATGAACAAACCAAATTACAGTCTAAAAGTACAATGTTTTGAATAATAAAATAACGTTGTAAAGATTATATAATTAATTTTCTCTTTGTTAAATCATGATATTTATTTTACTTAAGCCACTTAAACATTTATTGCATTTTTTTTATATATTAATAATTTCCATTCCCAACTAAATTTGTCTGTATTTACTACTTTACTGACAACTTATTACACTAATATTCTGCTGTTGTGATGCAATTACACATTCCATTCTTTACATCTCCTGCAAAGAAACAAACTGAAATATAGATTAAGGAGATCTATATGATTAAATGAGTTTTAGACCTTCGTTTAAATTATGTATTGCAAAGATTGGGATTTTTTAAAAAAATAGAACTATCGTACAAACTAAAAAACTTATTTTTCAAATCTGTTATAAAATTTACGTGCATCTAGGGGTTATACCTAGAAGGTTTCACAACGGATACCCCGATTTAATATCGAGAAAAAAAGTTTATTGATACCAAAAGATTTTCAAATTCGGCCGTTCTCAAGCACCTCACTCAATGGATCGGACGTAAATTTTTAATTAGTCGGAAATTAAATAACAGGCGCACGATTTGTCACATCCAAAATTTTATCATATGATTTTCATAAATTACACAAATCGACGAATTTACATTTTTTAAATTTTCACCTGATACCTTAGTTTTAACATACAATATTTCTTAACAAACTTGTTACTGAGGTCTTTACGAATCAAAAGATATAAAAAATATAAAAAATAAACTTTTCCGAGTAAAGTAATATAGCTTCGAAAGTATGCAATTATTTTGCTTTCTTTCGCTTGATTCTTCTCCAGTTTGCAAGTACCTGGCATAACAAATATATCTTTAGATGCGCCGAAGCAAGAACTTTTACCAAAATGCATCTGTGAAGGGCCGGTGCATTATAAACATAATGGAGAAAATCAAGAAAAACTATTTTATGGCTATGTAGATCATATTAATTCAGTTTTTTTTATAAGTTGCTTTAAATAATTTTTATTAATTCAGTTTAATACAATAATTATTTAAGTTTAGGACTTGGATTTTCATTTTCTTGGCCTTACATACCGATTATACCATCGATCTTTAATTCGTTTTTGATTCCAATAATCAGTATAAAGCTCTAACTCTTCAGCAAGTTCCTGAACAACTTCCGGGAGTAATACAGTAGAGTTTTTATATTCTTCAAGCCTTGCGATAATTTGTTCTTCAACAGGTGTAGATGTGTGTGATGAATGTTGTCTTCTTTGTGATCCTGATGATAGTGGTTGTAAGTCTTGGTCGACATTCTCAACTTCCATATCATGTAATTCTAAAACTTGAGATTGTAAGTCTTGGTCAACATTCTCAACTTCCATTTCGTCATGTTGAGATTCCTCTGTTTCTGTTTGTTTAGCTTTTGTTCTTACATTCTTTTTACTTTTTGTTACTTTCATAGGTATTAGAATTCGTTCGCCCAATTTTATTGCTTGTGCAGAAGCAATTTGCTTAACAATATCATTCATCTTTTGGATTTCTAATTCGTAGCAAGTAAACATTCGTCGATATCCATCCTCTGTTAGTTGTTTAGTTTCTGCAAATAATGTGCAAGTTTCTGGCTTTTCATTCTCTTCATTGCTAAATTCTAATATGAGTTCATCACTTACTTTCTAAAGAGCTTCTTGACGATCTTTGATAGACCGTGGACTTCTGCTTATTGACTGATCATCAATAAATTCAGAAATTGCCAAGATAAGTCGCTCATATTCTGTTTGTGCAGCTGTCATATTCAGGTTTAAATTTTCTAAATTTGTTGCAAGACCTGTCATATTCTCTTTTAGAAACTTTACTCCGTATGCTTCTAAACTCTCGTTGATAGGAGATAATACTCTTTTTGCGTCAAGTTAATTGAAGGCACCATTCAGAGATTTTGAAGAAATTGTGGGTTATTTCGAAGATCTGATATAAATCGTGTTACAGACTCTGCATATTGGTATCTTCTTGTAATATGAAATAAAGATGCAAACGCCATCAAACTATGCAACTGTAGATCGAAGTTTCCCATTCGAATACCAAGCTTGTGCAATTTCAAATATCCTGCCCATCGATAAAAATTATACCACACTTTTAAAATTTTATTATTTGTTTTAGGAATATCACTAATAGAGATATCTTTTTCTTTAACATATCAATGAATCGCAATTCCTACGGCCATCCAAAGAAGTTCAAGTACACGAAATGTCGCCCGATAGTCGACAACCTTTTTAAGTTTATCAAGAAACTTAACACCAAGCCGTGCAGCAAGTCCAAAAAGCCCATAACTTGAAAAAGCAGCGATTAATGCACTACACATTGCTTTGCTTATATGCCATTGACCTAGAATACAATACACGGTATGGTCTTCACTTTTATAGTCTTTCATTCGATGATATATTGCTTCATCATATACTAGATTTAACACACCATCTTCTGTATAGCCGAAATCTTCTAAAAACATATCGACGGCTTGGTGAATATGCTCATTTTTGCTTGGAGCTTTTTCTGGTTTAAGAATTACAATATTCAGAGGATCTACAAATATTGTTGAATTTATTTTTTTTTTAATAGCTTCATTAACATGTTCATTACTAAACATTAGCTTTTGACTAACTAAATGATTGAAGATTAAATCTATTTCTATATGCCATTGTTCTATAATAGAACTTATACCAAAAAGAGAGTAACCTTCTATTGAATAGTCGTCAAAGTTGACAAGCTCCGAATATTGAAATTGAAAGACCATTCTTAATTTCACGTGAGCAGTTTTGCGAACTGCTTCAAAGATATTACCATATTGGAAGGTGGCATCTTTCATATTGATATTATCTATAGCTACGATATTTAATATATTTGGATTTATGTTTAGTCTTGACCGAGGGTCTGCAGCAGACATTCTTTTTTTTTGAACACAAACTTCATGATCTTTTACATACGCCAATACCCGAACTGTATGAAGAATTTTGTACAAAACTCCTATCATTTTTGGTCGTCAGCAAAGAGAAGAGAGAGTATGCGTTAACCATATTTTCTAGCTAGGAAAAGCAATGGTAAGTACTACAGAGACGAAAAAAGAAGAAAATAGTTCAATTTTTCTTCTTTCTAACCATGGAGGAGGCATATTTCTCTCTTTTCTTTTTCTAGCTAATATTTGCAAATTTTTTTCTTTTATAGTTAAAATCAAGCCGTAAAAAAAATTGATAAGAAACAATAGCATAGCTTGATAGTATTCATCGAAGGATTTGGGCCCTTTGAGCGATGATAACTTTTTTTTAAGTTTGGTTCGCTCTTGCAATATAGAAGAAGCAAGCATATTTCCAAGAGTAAAGTATGTAACAGTTTTTATTAGTGGCTTTTGTTTGTCAACTTTAAGTTTTTTAACAAAAAATACTGTTTTTATTAAAAAACAACTTGGGATTGAAGATTTTTCATTTTGTTTTTGCACTTCGGGTGTATTTGTTGGCTCTTCAGGTTTTTTCGTTATATTCTTGAAAAGTTTGATTAGTTCTTTTAATAGGTTGTCTTTTGTAGAGTCATCTCCAAATTCGGCATTCTGTTCAATCCAATTAGCAAAAAACTTCAAGGCCGATGTAGTATCAGCCTTGTGTTGTCCTTGTTCCACACATGAAGGGTAACTAAACCCTTTTTTTGGTCGAATTGGAAAGTGACCTCCATTTTTTACGAAGCAGTCAGAGCAAATGAAATGAGTTTTATTATCGTAAGGCGATTTTTCTAATTTTTTTGATAACTTCTCATATTCAGTCATTACCGGGCATTGGAACAATCCAAGACATGGTGCTTGAATTGTGTGTTCACACACTTTCTACGTATGCTTTTCACATGTTTTACCTCTTGTAAAAAAATATTTTATTTTATCACAAAATAGGCAACGACGTGGATTTACCACACTTTCTTCAGTGGACTTGTCTTTTGAACTAAATTCATGCACAGTTTTTTGATCATAATTTAGATGATGCAAGCAAATCCTCAGCGCTAAAGTGTCGCCTCCAACTTCTTGTGCAACTTGAGAATCAATTTCCCATGCACCAGATAGTTGCTTTAAAGGATGATATGCCTATTTGGTGCATCTTTGGATTATATTATCTTCATTATTATTATCAACGACAACACAATGTGTTACTTTGATATTACAGCTCGTGGTTAGAGGAATTGGTTTTTCAAATTCTTCAAATACTTCTGCTTTGTCATCACACTGAAGAAATTCATCATCATTTTCAGATAGTTCATCATCAGATTCATCGATCGATTGAGACATAATTTCTTTCAATTTTTCTAATGAATGCCAATCAAATGTGAGTGTCTCACTATTTGTTGCTTCGGGTTCAATATTTTCGCTGAATTCTTGATTAAAATTGTCTTTATAGTCGGATGAAACTTTATACAAGAATTCGTTCATATTTTGTTTTATATATATATATATTTTTTGTATAAGAATTGGCTAATTAATATGATACTATTAATTTTTCAAGCACGATTTTTTTTTTTTTTTTTGCAGTTAGGAACAGAGATGATACATTATAATATTGGACATTTGGACAATTTGGACATTTGGACATTTGGACAATGTCCAATTTGTCCATATAATTTAATTGGACAAATAAATTTATTGGACATTATAATTTTTTTTATTCTATAAAAAAAATTTTATTAATAAATTTATTTAATAAACTACTATTATACTATACTATAAATAGTAATTAAATATAATTTAACAGCTTAATTGCAAATTTATAATATAATTTGCAGACAACTTTGCTTGCAAAACAGTTTAGAAGAATAAAAAAGCTAATGCTATAAATATTAAAAGTGAGTTTAAAAGTAATAAAATTTATTACATCATTATTAGTTCAATAATTATTGTTGTTACAAAACTTGAAGTTATACTTATTATATTTAAATTTTTATTTGAATACTTTACCCAACATGTTAGTGCATTTAGTTTGTACGAAATCTTATGAAAAATATTATTCTTGTCAACCAATAAATCTTAACAAGAAATAAAAAAAAAAACATGGATATGTATAAATTTATACAGTACATATATATAGTATACATAAAATACTTTCTTATGCGCATATCTAAGTTAGTGTATAACTTTTTAAATTGTTATGCGACTAATTTTATATCCCAACAAAGTTCTATTTCGAACTATAATTCATACAAATACTAGTCAGGTTTTTTATTTATTAAAGATTTTAAGATATTTATATCATTCGTGTTTGGTGATCATGGTTTTCTTGAAAGTGATAGAAGTTTTTCAATATTTTTGAAAGTGCCTGAGAACCCGATTCATAAAAGACTTGCTAATACCTAAGTTTTGGCAATTTTTCGATGATAAGCCTTCTTAATTTTTTGTAACTATTTGCTATCGAAGCTGCTTTGAAAGTATCATAATTCTGTATTTAACCAAAAATATGCATATCGATATGAAATCACAAACTTAACCGAATCAGCCAAAAAATTGTTTGGCCAATTTTTACAGGTGTCCTAGGAATTATGATAATAGCTGTAAATCAAAGAAAAAATTTTTATATATAATTTTTTAAAAATAAAATTAAAAGCCGGGTGGCAGGTCACTTTTTTTAAAGATTTTATATTACGAGAACCAAAAAATTAACTTTATATGGCCTAATGTTTTTTTTTAAAAACAATTTACATAATTTGGTTTTTATTTATCTTATTTTATATAAAAAATCCCTAGTCAACTACAGTTACTAATATTTTAAGGTTTGTGCATAAATATTTTATGCTTATCTATTTTAATTCAATTTCTAAACTTGATATATTAAACTAATACCATATGATATCTATCTAGAAAGAGTGTAAGTCGCAATTGGATATTATTAACCTGTTCAAAAAGAATATATAAAGTGTTTAGATTTAATATCAGTTATAAATACGTATCTAATAAATATTTATTACCTTATTCTGTTAATAATTTTATATATGGTGGATGTTTTAAATTATTTTTATCAAAAAGAGTCTCTAATTTCCACTTAGCACTTGATGCAACAGCGGGATGATTATCAATATCTGGTTCTGCCAACTCTTCATTTAATTCACTTATTGCATCCTCTTCTTCATTTAATTCACTTATCGCTTCTTCATCTTCACTTATAGCCTCCATTCCTTCTTCTTCTATGAGAGAATTCCATTCATTCACAGCTTCTTTCCAATCATTAATTGAACTGATATCTTCTTGTCTTTTAATAAACCCAATCTCATCTTCTGATTCCATATTATTAGACTCATGATCATCATTGGACAGTGTTGCGTGCATTGCAGTTTGTGTTTGAATAAAATTTTTTTTAGCCTCATAAATTTCTTTTAATCATCGTGAATAAATTAATTCACTACGTATTTGACACATTGCTACCACCTTTTTATGCTACAAATTAAATTAGAATTAGTACTATATTAAGAAATAGCACATGGATGGCTCTTCGGGCCTTCCATGTGCTAGAATCATCGCTAACCTCTACTATAATTTCCATTCTTCCCAGAAAATAAATAATACATATATCTTTATATATTATATATACCTTTAACTTATTTCTTCGACTATTATATAACCAACCCATAGTAGAAAATAACCGTTCAATAGATGCTGAACTAACGCTTATTGAAAAGATTCGTTGTGCAACAAGATGTAATTCTTCAGTATATCCACTAACAAAATTCCAAAAAGAAAGAATATCATCTTTTTTTTTAAATTGACAATAATCTTTATCACGAAATGGGTATTTTTGTTCACGGTATTGTTGTAACTCTTGTAAAAGAACTTCAGATTCACGTCCAAACCAAGCCTTATAATAATATAATAACCAATAACCGAAATGAGGAAAAGTTAAGTTGTGTATTTGCGTATTGAATATAGTATCACGATATTCAGGGTGTAGTAAAAAGCTTAATATCAATAATGGCTGCTCCCATGTTTGCCATCGACGCTCTATACGCATTAAAAGATTAGTACGAAGATCAAGATCGGAAAGATTTTCAATTACTTGTACAATCCATCCAAAGCCATGTAAAACATCATGAAGTTTGGCCTGATCACATTGTAGTTTATTTAATATTGAACAGTAGGGAAGAAGAATTGCTTCAAGTTGTCGTAAATCAGCCCACCAATTGCTATCAAGAATATTCATAAGAATATCTTCAGGAAAATTAGAAAGACTATTATCTAAACCCTCTTCTATTTTATTTCCAAGATTCTAAAAGATAAATATTACATTAATGATTTAAATATAAAAACTAGTAGATTTAGAGAAAGTAAATTGCTCGCGCAGTCTGTATGCGCATTTTGCTGATTACTATGTAGTCACCATGCAGATAAATTAATAAGTAAACATATTTGGTAATCTGCATAGTGACTGCATAGTAATTAGCAAAATGCACATTTTGTCGTGCAGTCTGCATGCGCAGCCTGCGCAGTAACCTATTTTTTAAAAAAAAACTTACTTTAAGAGCTGTACGAGTCTTAATAAGGCTTGAGAAACAATAATAATGACTGTTCCATCGAGTTGCATTTGGTAAAAGGAGAGATATATACTTATTTTTATATACTAAACTCTGTTCATCTCGAAGTCGTCCCAAAAAAAATGTAGATCTATTAAAAAATGTTACAATCTTAATTGCTTCTTCTGCAACAGTACTAAGGATTGATGAGTATCGAAATATATCTCCAACTGCAAGATTCATTTGATGCGCGAAGCATGGAATAAAAATTTTATCAAGATGAGCCGTATGAAGACGTGACCGAGCAGCCATAAATTCAGAAGCTGAATCAGTTACGAGACAATTAACCTTAATATTATCCTCTTCAAGCTTTATAAAAAGATCATTAGTTATTTTCACAATCTCAGGCCATCTTGTTCTCTTTCCTGAAATATCTTCTGCGCCCCAAATTAATGTTTTGCCACTTGAATTTATTAATGCGATCCCTAATAAGCTCTCTTTTTTAATATTTTTCCAACCGTCATATGTTAAAGTAACACCAAGTTGATCTGCTTGGATATCTTTTTTTTGTAATTCTATAGAATTTTTAGCTGTTTTAGTTAAAATTCGACCTGAGAGTGTTTGGCGATTTGGTAATTTGATAGTAGGATTTATATAATAAAAAAGCTCTTTAATTTCAGGGTTATCAACCCACGTAAAAGCCCAGCCACATGAAACAGTTGCTTTTAAAAGTAATTGTTCAAGTTTTTCCTTTTGTTTGCTTGATAATGGTTTTTGAAAATAACCATCTAACGTTATATTTAAGCCTAACTGGTCTGAAGCTATTAATCGAGCTCGTTTATTTGAATTGTTTTCACTAGAAATTTCTTTAATAAATTAACTGAAATTAGATTAAGTTAAATACGTGTGGCTGCTTAAGTTAGAATTTGATTAAGCTGGAATTTTAATTTATTTTGATATTAAATTTTAGGGATAGTTTTATTAATAAAAAAGTATGGTAGGTATTATAGGTTTAAATAGAAACCAAAATCCCAGCTTAAACAAATCTCAGCATAAGCTGTCATAACAATTAATGTTAGTAAATAAATACTTTCCAAAACTTTGTTCACTTTCACTTTCGCTTTCACTTTCTTGAGGATCCTTATTTGTCAATGTTGGATTTAAAACTTTATTGCGCATTATTTCACTAGGATATTCTGCAATGAAGTATTGACAAGAAATAAGATGGCGCCTGCATTCTCGCTGCGTATTAGTAATTCGGTTTTTATAAGCTTCTTCATATGTAGAACCTTTAATACAAAATTTGCAAACGGCAAACTTATTAGATTTATTAGCTTTCTCATCCAAAATGATAAATAAGTCAGTTAGCCTGTGTTGTTTTCTGCCCATTGTAAAAATTAAAAAAAAGTTGATGTTAAAAAAAAAAAAATAAAAAAATAACACCACTATATAAAAGTAATCGAAACAATGATTGTAGTTATTATCATTCTTTCTCTGAAGTTTGGCATATGCATTGTGCATATACAGGTTATTTGCCCAAGAAAAAATGTCAACTCAAGAGAGACACATATTAATTGACAAACTAACATAATTCACTTTTATTATAGCAAATACATACAAATTGGACAATAACCCTAAACCTTAGATAGATCAGAGACATTAAAGAAATTGAATATAGTAACGCCTACTACTCGATTATAATGATTATGCCATCCAAACCCTGAACCCTGCATTTGAAGGCATTAAAATAACGCCCACTACCATTATCATATCATCCAAACTCTGAACTTTACATGAATCGAAGATATTAAAGTAATCATAGTAACACACACTACTCGATTATAATCCAAACCCTGAATCCTACATGACTTGAAGGCATTAAAATAACGCCCACTACCTCTTATAATGATCATGCCATCCAAACTCTGAACTCTACATGAATCAAAGATATTAAAGTAATTATAGTAACGCACACTACCCGATTATGATGATTATGCCATCCAATCCCTGAACCTTACACGATTTAAAGACATTAAAATATCGCCCACTACCTTTTATAATGATCATGTCATCAAAACTCTGAACTCTACATTAATCGAAGATATTAAAGCAGTCATAGTAACGCATACTACCTGATTATAATGATTATGCCATCCAAACTCCGGACCCTACATGACTTGAAGGCATTAAAATAACGCCCACTACCTCTTATAATGATTATGCCGTCCAAACTCTGAACTCTACATGAATTAAAGTAATTATAGTAACGCACACTACCCGATTATAATGATTATGCCATCCAATCCCTGAATCCTACACGATTTAAAGATATTAAAATATCGCCCACTACCTTTTATAATGATCATGTCATCCAAACTCTGAACTCTACATGAATCGAAGATATTAAAGCAGTCATAGTAACGCATACTACCTGATTATAATGATTATACCATCCAAACTCTGGACCCTACATGACTTGAAGGCATTAAAATAACGCCACTACCTCTTATAATGATTATGCCATCCAAACTCTGAACTCTACATGAATCAAATATATTAAAGTAATTATAGTAATGCACACTACCTGATTATAATGATTATGCCATCCATTCCCTGAACCCTACATGATTTAAAGACATTAAAATAACGCCCACTACCTCTTATAATGATCATGTCGTCCAAACTCTGAACTTTGCATGAATCAAAGATATTAAAGTAATTATAGCAATGCATACTACTGATTATAACGATAATGCTATCCAAACTCTGAACCTACATGAATCGAAGATATTAAAGTAATTATAGCAACACCACTATCCGCTTATAATGATTATGTCATCTAAACCCTGAACCCTACATGAATCGAAGACATTAAAATAATTGTTGTAACGCACACTACCTAATTATAATGATCTTGCTGTCCAAGCCCTGTATAAATCAAAAAAGTATTAAAATAAGTTGTATTCTCCTATAATTACACCATCGGTACTTTGAACCTTTATAAAAAATGATTTTATATTGAGAATGTGGTTATATAAGGAGTTATTTAAAAATAAATGCACTTATAAAAAAATTTCATATGACATGCTTATATGGCATGTAATTATGGTAATGCCTTTGCATAATTGTAACGATCATGTTATCCAAACTTCGCATAAATCTAAGTGTTTAAACCCACTACCGGTTAATTCAAACCCTGCATGAATCGAAATAATTTATGCATTCTGACTTATTATAGTATATGTTAAAAGGAAGCAGGATCCGCTCTGGAAACTTCTGCATCTCATGTGGTACACACATACGTACTGTACTAGGGTGATAAATCGGCTAAGTAATCAAAATTGCAGATTTTTCATGTTACACGATGATCATTTCAATGGTATACGTATATGTACTGTACGATTTAATTAATATACATTATTATCGTTATTAATTGATATATTCCAAATGATTCGGCTTATTACCAAGACGTCAAATTACCATGAAACTTTCACAAGTTGTTAATAAAATGGCTAAGAATAAAGCTATGTTTCAAAAATCTTTATTAATATGTAATTTGGGGGATTTGTCTTGTAGAATGTTTTAAATTTCATTAATTGGCACGAAAAAATTTATCTTAAATATCAAGTTCAAATTTTAATTAGAACTTTGTGAAAAAAATCAAACTAAGTTGTTTTGAAGCAGTTCTGACGCAACGTTTTCAATTGAAAGAAATTAGAACAATAAGCACAATATTTGTGTACTTTACTTGATAAAAATCTGATCATAGTAAAATTACTAATATGCCTGACATAGTTTTGATAACTTATTTGATTTATCACCCTAGTACTGTACATTGTAAAAGGCTCCGGTGACATCATTTCACCAAAGTTCCTTTCATATTTACAAAATTTCTTTTATTTTCTTTATTATCTCCTTTTTAGTTAGTATTAGCGTTAGTATTTTTTTTTTATTTTATTCTAAAAACAGTAAGCGAAAGACAATTGTTACCTCAGATAGAAAGACCTTCGTACATACGTAGTGTACATGTTCTACATATAGTACATAGCGTATATAGTATATATAGTAAAATTAGTATAGGTTTTGAGTATATTAGTGTAAAGTTGCTAGATGCAGCTCACACTTTTTTTTAACATACATTATAATTAGCCACTTATTATATTATTGAATTTTATCAAATAAAATTATTGGACAATTGGACATATGTCCAATTTATTTAATTGGACATATGTCTAATTAATTTTATAATTTATTGGACATTGTCCAATGTCTAACAATTCAAAAAATTATTTGAATTAATTGGACATATTGGACATATGTCCAATGTCCAAATGTCCAAAAATCCAATTAAATTTATTTGGACATTGTCCAATATCATCACTGGTTAGGAAGCCGTACACGGTAGATATTTATAATGATTTTTTCTTTGAATTTATTAGGTTTATTAAACATTACTCAAAACACCGGCCGAATTATTAGTGGTATCGGTTTTACAAATAACTTTTGCTATGGTGAAGCGATTAGGCTATAAGATCTTCTTCACTATACTAAGTAATTCACTATATTGAGAGATTTTTTATATAAACTAGTCTTTACTATAACAAGTAATTCACTATAATGAGAGTGGCTTGTATTTAGAAATTATTTTATAATACATTTTTGTTGTTTAACGTTAATATATAATTAAAATCGATTTTATTTAACAATTGAATTTGTATCGCATATATATACACAATTCTTATAATTAATACAAATTAATTTCAAAATAAAGGTACATTATGCATGCTACGCAGCGTCTTCTAAGAAATTAAAAAAAAAAAAAGACTACATTATACATGCTCACAGTGTTCTAAGAGTTGAAAAAAAATAAATAAAAAAACGAGAAATTGTGATTCTAAATAGATCTCTTGTTAAGACAATATGATCTAAGCGTGGAATGCATACTTTCTCATAAGTTAGAGTTTCGTTTAGTGCCTCAAAAATTTATAATTTCGGGTAGGTACGCGAGTTTTTGCTAAAAAGTTTCAAAGATTCTTATGCATTATAAGCATATAAAAAATAAAACGAAAGGCTGTTTTTGACAGCGTGATTCTTCTCAGTTTTATTGTTTTTTTCGGTTAAAGCTAAAAAACAAGAAAGTATTTGTATAGCTGAACTGTTGCACTTAGTCTTGTATGTGCGATTTCCTTTTTGGAAACCCCTGAAAATGCTATTTGAAGGGGGCCTACCGTTGCAATTTACTATAAAAAATGAATCGATCATATGAATGTCGATAACTCAAATTTTATAGTAAAAAATTTACCCCCGTGATCTGCGTGACAAATCATGCGCCTGATAAATCAATCAAGTGAGTTACCAATTCGATCAACAAATCAACGAGATACAAACCATCTTTTTTCTCCAAAAATTTACCATTGATAAAGATCGCTCAAGCACTAGTTTTACATTTTAACATATCAAACATAATA